TCGATGGATGCTGGTGGATCAGGACCGTGCTTTGTGGCATTATTTGGTGGAGGCCTATGTTCAGCAGTGGACTTGTGAAGGGCTGTTATGATGATGATGATGATGTTCGCCTCCATGACGGCCTCGAACTGGATTTTGTAGGCCGACCAGGAAGAAGTCCCGTCGAACGGCGGCACTTTGAATCCACGTAGCGAAGGTGTTGTAGCTACTACGGGAGCTGTTGTTCCATCCCCAAGTTTGAGGTCGTCCGGCGTTTTCTTCACGTCAGCCATCACGTTATCAAACTGATTATTCACTTGGTCGATTTGGGTTTTAGCTTCCTTGATTTGGGTTTCAGCTTCCGACAGGCGGTTGTCATGTTGAGCAACCCCATCCTTCACCTCCGTTCTCTCTTTCCCAAAGGTAGCATGAAGGTCCTTCATAAGGAGCATCTGCTCTTCCAACCGCCGGGCCTGTTCCTCTTGTCCGCCCCGCAGCTGCTCTTCCAAACGACGGACCTGTTCCTCTTGTCCGCTCTGCAGCTGCTCTTTCAACTGACGGACCGGTTCCTCCTGTCGGCGGACCTGTTCATCCTGTCCACCCAGCAGCTGCTCTTTCAACCGACGGACCTGTTCCTCCTGTCGGCGAACTTGTTCCTGCAGCATCACCATCAGAGCACCTAAGTCGAGTGCTGCAGATGTAGCAGCTACCGACGGACCTGCAGCCGGTGGCTGGCCCTCCGACGTCTGCGAACACCAAATCTTCTTTGGTCCGTCTCCTGCTGGCGTTGACTTCGGGTACGGACACCCTCCGTTTCCTCCTTAGGTAAAATCGGCATGATTTTATCCCACTTCTGACACCAATTGTTACGAGCTTGAGGTTCGTGACAGTAAAAATTGCCGATAGAATTACCAAAATTAACTCTTTAATTGACTTTACACTAATTAAACTTAAAACACTAATAATTAATCACACTGATTCACTTTATTCCGCTTCGAAGCTTCGCTTGTCTCGCTAAATTCAATACTTCCCCGATCGCACCTTGCAGCGCCTATAAATACACATTAGCACCGAAACATCCAGAACATTTAAGTAAATACGCGCAAGGCGTCGAAAGTTCGAGCGTCGGCTTCTAGAAGCTTAGTTCTTCGTTTCGACACTAGATGGCGCTGTCGGTTGAAAGATTAGTGATGTCATTTTTTGGAAAGTTCCCCCCGCTCTCGTCCCTGACACAACATTACGTCAACTTAGGCGCGCAACAGTATTAAATATTAATTTTAAATATTATGTAAACATTCTCGATATATCAAGCAAGAGAATATAAAATATATTTTTTTGCAATTAACGCTAGCCATGTAGTAGGACTTTCTCCTGTTATCGTAGTGGTAATTTACATATATAAATTAAACAAGGGTACAAATTCAGACCCGAAAATATTATTTGTAACCGATGCCAATAGTTGTCTCATAAACGATTCAAGCCTGTGGCCAACGAAGCCACATTTAAATGGCTCTACCGTAACCGAGCCGTCAATTTTTAACGTAGTTACTTAATAAATAAAATTGAGTTCCGACTCCTCCTTCATTTCACAGTTTGAACAAATTATTTTTTTAAGAATAAAGGTCACAAACGAGCGCATACTCAACTTGGTAGTAAGTAGATATTATAGCTCCTATGGGCTGTGGCATATTTATATATCAACATATCTTCATATTATATCAGTGATTAACGGCCTATAGGACCTCAGCTCAAATTCTAATTTCGTCTCCATTTTTGCCGCGCCACTCGTTCGCACACTTTGACTCAATGTCATGCGGGAACACAAAGCCAAAGCGATTATGTTACGAGTAAAATAAACTCTTATCGGACGAGCACTATGTAATAAAATTTTCAGTAATAATTTAATATTAACTTGTCATTATATGAACATAAAATAATATGTCGCAAATTTAATTTCATTGTACTAATGTTCTAGTATAAGTTGACCCTTCATTGTAACGGAAAGCTTATAGAAATCAGCTTATACTGGAAATTTCTTCTTATAGTGGAAGGATCCACCCATAGTTGGTTTAGTGGTAAGCTTGAGTTTTATAGTTTTCGCCGTGTATGTATGTAATGTGACAGCCGTTTACGTATGTAATTATGTTGGTAGTAGATCTATGCAAGTACTTACATATACATAACCTATAAGAAATTTTGCAAACAGATTCTAAACCACTGTATAAATTCTACTGCTACAAAAACCTAGTCAAGCGCGAATCACTATTGCACTGAAAGTTCTGTAGGTAGGTACATTGGCTTGGTAGTAGCTTTACGATTTGCATTTTACAATCTTATAAAGTTACAATATATACGTGGTAGAGCCGTACTGCAGCTATATTAGAAGTATAGTTGTAGAACGAATGAGTCGGCTCGACAGGGGAAGCACCACGCTGTCACATAATACCATCGTAAAACAGTATCTTAGTGTTACTGTGTTTCGTATGGTGAGTCTAGAGAACCGGAGACCCTTTTTAATGAAAACGAGTCATTCCATCTTAGTCCTCACGGGTAACAACGCATCTGCATTTTGATTCGTTATTTGGGATAGATATAGATGTCTATGGGCCACAGCAACCACTTACCATCAGGTGGACTGTGTGCTCGTTTGTCACCCTATTCTATAAAAAAAAACTTACACTATAGTTTTCGCCTTATATTACATACTACTTTTTTAGTTATATTACACACACACACACACACACACACACACACACACACACACATATATATATATATATATATATATATATATATATATATATATATATATATATATATATATCATCACAGCCCTTCTTAAGTCCACTGCCGAACATAGGCCTCCTCCAAGGAATGCCACAAAGCACGGTCCTGAGCCATCTGCATCCAGCCACTTCTTGCATGTCTTACCAGGCCGTCATTCCATCTAGTGGGACTCACACTACACTGCACCTACCGGCGCGATATATATATATATATATATATATATATATATATATAATACAAATTAATCGTGATATTTAGGACAAGGTTTGTATAAATATAAGATAGATAGGTAGGTAAGTATGTAGGTAAGTAGGTAGGATATGTAGATAGGTATGTACGTAAGTAAGTAGGATAGTTAGGTTGAGTAGGTTAGGTAGGTAGGGCAGGATAGGTAGATAGGTATGGTTATGATAATAACCATAAGTTTTTAAAAGAACATCGTCAAAATGATACAACATTTATTTTAATTCGCTTAAATCTCTAATTGGCATATTTCGAACATGTCTGGGATCGCTTGGTTTGATTTCTTCCCAATTTTGGTCATATCTCTCTATAATTTCAACTTTGATGTCTTTGTCGCATCCAGACCATACTCCGAAAATACATTTTCGCCTATCGGTGATATGTAATTGTCCTTGCACTTGTATATACCAAGGATGTTTTTTATTTATGACAAGTCCGTTTTTAGTTTTTCTCCAATACATCATTTTTTTATTATTTATAGCTTCATCCAAAGATGTTTTAAATGCTGTAATTGGACATTTAATATCAATGATTGTGTCTTCTCCCACTATTCCGTCTGGAGTTGCACCTACAAAAGGAAACTTTTTATCTATGAAGAGACCACAAAGCTCTATTTTAATGTTTAATTGTGATGCTATCTGTTCCGCAGCTATTGCTTCATGCTCTACGCCAAATTTTGAAGATGGCACATTGTTTAGATTCTTCGGATATATAATATTCTTTACCAAATTTCTCACACTCGTATTTTGACGCCTATTCACTACTTTGGCAAATTTAGACGCTGTTAGAAGTTTTCTTCTAAGTTCTAACCACTCACTGGAATCTCTTTGCAGAATAGTTGATTTTTGTATTTGTTTTCTATCTTCTTCTGCACTCGGTAAATTTTTCAAAAAGTCCTCCTTACACTTGTTGTACTCCAAAGTTGTCATATCTGGCTTTTGACAATTTTCACCATAATCTTTATCGTTTTCTTTGGTTTTTAAAAACAGTTTCCTACGTTTTCTTAAGTATTTAGACGCGTTTTCTCTTTGTTTTAATCGCTTCTCCTCCAATTTTTTCACTAGTGCCCTGGACTTCTCCCCAAAATAGCTCTGTGTAATGTAGTAAGTGGGAGCTTTGTATTAAATGATACCACAGCATATTATATCATATTGCATCATAGCCCCGACGTAAAGAAAAGTTTATGCGTTTCCCGCCAACAAATTTGGCAATAATGCTGTTAAAATATTCTACTTTATTGCTATCACTATTTTGCATCAGGCTTCGAGCTTTAGCTGCTACTGTGTTTACTATAAACTTAATTCTGTACCATATAGCACATGTCTTCAAAATTAAAGTAAGGTCTTCACTGTTGTTTTGGCTAGTACAATAATATGGTTGGCAGTTTTCGTGGTTTCCGAATGCATGATTGTAAGAATTCATGATATCTGTGAATAGGCTATTTACCTTTGTGTCGAATTTTGCGTCTTTAGAAATGTGTTCAGTTATGGAGGAGCAAATGACTTTACGGATAGCTAAGATTCTTTGAGTAGTTATTTTTTTTCTTAAATTGGAAGGATATTTAGTTTCCATAGTTATGTTCTTTAGCTTTTTGCACATGTTCCTTAAAATATGATTTTTGCATTCTACCTTTTCTACGGTGCAATTGGGATATGGACGACATTCCAAAATTTTTTTATATGTGCTTGAGTCACCGTCTGCCACCATACGTTCGTATATAAGGTTATGCATGGAAATGGACTGTTTAAATCCTTCTAACAATATTTCAGACTCCATACCTGTAGAAGAACCGCTATAATTTTTATAGCACACATGGTTGCCTGGACGGATACCTTTACTTTCGGCACGCGCACATATACAGCAATATTTATTCTTCACCCCGATAAATAAAACCTCGCCGAACCTTTTTCCAATAATAGCGGCAGCTCCAGACAGGGCTGAAAAATTTGTGTTGAAGGAACGTTTACTCCAGACACCATCTGCAATGACATCTAGCAAGCAATGCCGTTTTTTACGCGCCCTTCCGCTATAGCTGCATTTCGTTCCCGTACTGCAGCTGTCTCCATCGCAATTATAGCTGTTTTTTGCCAGTCATCATACGTCTCATTTTTAAGTTTAGCGTAATGCCTTGGAGAGAAAGACGGACAATTCATTGATGCACATAATTCGCTAAATTGAGAATAACCAATTCCAGAAAATATAATACCAAATGTTGCAGATTTGTTTAAGTCTAGGTTTGATTTAGGCTCAGAATCAAGACAAAATGTCTGGTTACAGAAATTGCAGGCTAATTTATTATTGGGAGGAAGACCTTTTCTTTTTTTTTTGATAAAATGTGAACGTTGCTCAATGTACATCCGAAAGCTTTATTATGATTGCATATTTCTTGAAGTTTTCTATAAAAATAGTCAATGTCTATTATTCTTCGTCCTTCTACACAAAAACTGCTTTTACCTTCTAGAGGATTGTTAAAACTCACTTCGTACCTGAAATGACCAGCATAACAATATTTGATGAATTCATGTAAAACTGCATAACATACAACCTTCTTCTTATATAAAAATCTTGTAATTACCAATTAGTATCACCATCATCACATTCATCATCTGATGTGTCGTATTGCGGAGGGTTGAGTGAATGTCTAAAAAAAAGATAGTTTTGGTTAGTATATGAAGTAAGAAATTATAATCCTAACTTCCTAAATAATATTATAAATGAAAAATTGAGTTTGCTTATTTGTTTGTCACACTTTCACGCTAAAACGGCTGAAATTTCGCACATGAGTAGATCATATCCTGGAAACGGATATAGGTTACTTTTTATCCTGGATCGCAGACAAAGGCGTGGACAACAACTGGTTACTAATAAGATCAAGAGTATTATTATTCAAAAGCTTACGCATCCAATCTTCTTTCGTCACTATGTATATTGAGTGAACAGCTCATGTCCTCAGGTAGTACTTGTGATCTGCAAGAAAACGCAACATTCATTATAAAAGTAAACCTGGAAGCATAATTTTGTCAAAACGAATAAATAGTACGGAACCCTAAAAACTCCAACATTATGAAAAGTTTTATCGTGTAATTGCCAATTTCGTGACAGTACCGTTACGCGTTAGTAGCTACCAAGCGGTAGTGTCATGGGGGAACAGCTAATTTCGTGATTATCAAACACGTATGGTACTTACAATTCTACATTTTGTAATATATGGAGATTTGTTTCGTCCAAATTTATTTCTACATCTTTTGAAGTTATTTGGATCCTGTAACAATCACACGTGGCAAGTTAATAATACCTACCTAGGTATGAGATATTTTTATTTACCATTTGGATATGGAACCTTAAAAATACACAAAAGAAGACGAAATTATCCATAAAACAGACTTGCCGCATGAATAATAATGAATAATTACCTACCTACGTTTATTATTACAGTATAAATTTGGTGCAATTACGCGTGGCTACATATCAAGCTATTATTTCCAGTATAAGCTGACCTCTCATTGTACCTAATGCCTCTATAATTTGAGATCAGCTTATACTGGAGTTATAGTTTGAATATTATGTAGCCACGTGTACTAACATATCTGTTACATGTTTAGGTAGGTAGAAGATACTCACGAATTTACCGGAATATTCTCTTTATCACCATCGTCTTCAGTACTTTGAAATCGACGTCTTCTGAAAAAATACATTACCTATAATAATTTAGCTAAAGCTAAATTATCAAGGGACGTCAGTACTCAATAGGTTCATATTTTTTATGTATGTAGTAGGTAGCACTATAGTCGGATAAGTAATTTTTTTAGAACGTTATACCCACACTAAGATTTTCTCCTTTATCATGGAGGCAGTTTACAAACACAAATTGCACAAGGACAAACATCCAGATCCGGAACAATTATTTGTAGGTCATACAAATACTTGTTCCGTGCGGGATTCGAACCTACGGACTCCAGCGCAGAAACTCATTGCTAAGCCAGTGTGCCGAGAAGTAACGATAACGTAAGGACAGATAAGGAAGTTACAGTTTTATTTCTTTATAGTTAGACAAGTAGGCACCTACTTACCGAACACACTTATATTTTTTATTACTAAGTGCTTGACTTCTGTACTACGGGTCGGGGGTTCGATTCTCATACGGAACGAATATTTTTATGACTTACGGATATAACTTTGGTTTCTTTTTTTTTTTTTTTTTTCCCCCGGTGAGAAACAGCCGACTACGGATAGTTGTGAAAATTTGTGTTTGTAATCGCACCGTATCTGATTCAGGAGAAATCCTGGAGTGGGGCAACGTTATAAAAAAACAATATTTTGTTGTATATTGTCAAAACAGAAACTAACCTATTTAGGTAACTTTTTATCTTTTTATTTTTCATAAAAGTTGCCCCACGTTTGATTTCTCCTGAATCGTGAACGGTGTGTTTACAAACACAAATCTTCACATACAGAAACACCTCTGACTAGTAGCGCAGCAACCAATCGCTTAGCCACTGCACCAAACGTGTCATATGCTAAATTTCTACATATTTATAATTCACTAATACTGTAAGTAGATATGTACTTACTTCATTATGTTTATCATACGTCTGCCCGTTTCTTTACGCCAACCCAATCGCTTCTTATTTTTATTACGCTTATTTCCCATTGCGCCAACACTATAAACCTAAGTATCTATTTTAATATTTTAATTTTACGTCGTCCTGTTGCGTAATTTGTGTTTTGAGCACAAGCGACATAACCCTTCCCTTCAAAAGCCGGAGCTAGAGTGAATGACTGTGTCGGGCGGTTTAAAACGACGATAGTTTAGGTAATTTCTTTTTACGGTGAAAGTAATGATAAATAAAAAAAAGTAAATGACATAAGCCCTGCTTTATAGTTAGTTCAGTTAGTATGCAAAGTTTCATGATATAATTTTAAGTATTTTTTGAATGCCAGCGGTTTATAATTCGGTTTGGAGGTAACTTTGGATTTTTTTTCTATCGAGAAAATTTTATGGAATCGTGTTTTCGTCTAACATAGTACTTAACATTAATCCTCAACTTCACCATATATTTATTTCAAAAACAATGATGCAGTAGTTTCGGCATAACAGAGGATCTTGCTAAGCCATTTGAGGTCATATAGCCCCTTAAGTATCAAAATACAGTAGCGTTGTTACCCCTAATGTCGCCTCTACACGTTGGCCAACACAGTGGCGAATGTAGTGGCGAATATATTGGCCGAGAGTTGGTGACGGCGTCCACACGTTGGAAGGTCGTTCAGTTTACTTCGGTTCGGGCCAATGTGCGGACGAATTTATTTAATTTTAGACGACGGCTCCGTGGCGCAGTGGCTTAGCAATGAGTGGGTGTGCCGGGGGCCGCGGGTTTGAATCCCGCACGGAACAAGTATTTGTATATCCTACAAATAATTGTTTCGGGTCTGGATGTGTGTCCTTGTGCAATTTATGTTTGTAAACTGCCTGCGCGATACGGAGAAAGTCCTAGTGTGGGGTTAACGTTTTTATAAAAGAATTATAAAATAATAGTGGATATTAATGGGGCTGTAAATAGACATACGATATACCATTAGCTTTATTTATTCCTTACATGCATCATAAACTGGAATAAATACCATTAATAAGAACTTAACTTATTTTAAAGTTAAAGGAGTTATAATCGATTAGTCTATGTTTTAAAATTGGGTTTTGATTTTAAAGTTTAGCAAAATATGTACTTGCATTTCCATCAGACATTTGTTTTATTTAAAAAAACACCTTATAATTTATTTGGTAATTTAATTATTTTTTGAGAAAGACAAAAACAATAGCAATAAATATAATTAACACTGACTTAATAATAGTTACTAATTATAACTTAGAACATAAAAAAGTCATGACGAGCAAAGTGGCTCAGGACCATGCTTTGCGGCAGTCTGTGGAGGAGGATGTTCAGTAGTGGACTTGTGAACAGCTGTAATGATGATGATGATTCGAAAACTTGCACGATTAAATTATAAGAAATCGACGTTTTTTTTATAGGATAGGGTGACAAACGAGCACACAGTTCACCTGATGTTAAGTGGTTACTGGGGCCCACAGACATCTACACTTATTCTCGATTACGAATCAAAATGCAGATGCGTTCTCACCAGTGAGGACTATGATGAAATACCTCGTTTCCTTTAAGAAGGGTATCTGGTTCTCTACACTCACTATACGAAACACAGCATCATTAAGCTACTATTTTACGCTGATATTCTGTGAGAGCGTGGTCCTTCCCCGGTTGAGCCGACCCATTCGTGCTACAACTATACTTCTAATATAACCGCATGGTTCTACCACGTATAAACGACGTACTTTTTTCATTTTAAAATTGTTCTCGTAATAATCTGATTGTTAATAAATGTTCGTTATTTTTTTGATAAATAGTTAATCGATTAAAACAAATGTTTAAAAATAATTAAATCGCGCTAATTAAAGTAGTAGGAATGTTTAAAGTTAAAATTGGCACTAAAAGGCTGGTAATTGGGGCATCCACTCTACAAAGCTTGAATATAAAATTTAAATCTGATGCGTGTAATCACTCTGGGAGCTCGTAGCAAACTACACGCGCGGCCAACGTGTGGACGCGGCAACCAAACTCTGCCAACAATCCTTTGATCTTTTGTAAAAAACCGACACCACCGGATCTCGCGCCAACTTGTGGGCCATCGTCCCAGTATAATACATACCAATGAAGCCCAAACTCTACACGTTGGCCAATGCTATTGGCCACTACATTAGCCACTGTGTTGGCCAACGTGTAAAGGCGCCGTAAGACTAAAATAGAATGCCCCGTTACCAAAAGGGAGACTCTTCACACTCACCATACGAATAATTGCAGCAATATTCTGTTGTTCCACGATGGTATTCTGGGAGATTGTAGTCCTATCCTGGTCGAGTTGACCTAATCATGCTGCAGTAAATTATAGCGTTTTATAGCTGCAGTTGGATCTATCTCATAAAAAATTGTGATATGATACTATGTTCTACTAATTATTTAGTGGATGATGACGCGTTTAAAAAATTATTTATTTTGAACTCTGTAATTCAACATGGATTACACAGGCAGCGCTCTGAAATTAAGTCAGTTTTTTTCAACCGACTTCAAAAAAAGGAGAAGGTTTTCAATTCTACTGTATTTTTAGGGTTCCGTAGTCAACTAGGAACCCTTATAATTTTGCCATGTCTGTCTGTCCGTCTGTCCGTCCTCGCTTAATGTCTGTGACCGTTAGCACTAGAAAGCTGAAATTTGGTACCAATATGTGTATCAATCACGCCGACGAAGTGGTAAAATAAAAATTGGAAAAAAAAATGTTTTATTAGGGTAGCCCCACTATATGTAAAGTGGGAAGAGATTTTTTTTTAATTTCAACCCTAACGTGTGATATATTGTTGGATAGGTATTTGAAAATGAAGAGGGGTTTACTAAAATCATTTTTTGATAATGTCAATAATTTCGGAAATAATCGCTCCAAAAGTAAAAAACAATGTGTCCCCCCCCTCTAACTTTTGAACCAAAAGTTTAGAAAATATGAAAAAAATCTGAATAGTAGAACTTTATAAGGACTTTCTAGGAAAATCATTTTGAACTTGGATGGAAACAACAGTTTTTGTACAAAAAAGACAAAAAGTTGTACAAAATAATTTCTGGCTAAGTTTGTAGTATAATCGTGTATGCAAGCATTTGTTTAACTTCGTTTACATATTTTATTATCCTGTACGTATCTTTTTTCAAACAAAAAAAAATATTATAATCGGTTCTCGCAATCCAAAATTACAACCGAAAACTTCTGGCGCGTCTATGTATTAATTAGTAACCCAATTCCTCGAGAGATGGCGCTGTAGGTACTTATTACATTGGGTCGGGTATTATCGAATTGTTCGGTTGGTCTCTTCTTGGCATTGGCGGTATCTTATAACAATATAAAACTTCTATCAGGAACATGCTAAGGCAATTTAGAACAAAACTAAAATTCATTTTTTTAGCGCCATCAAAATGTTAAGGTAAAAACCAATTCATAAATGGTTCGATAGATGGAGTTGCGTAACGTAACGTCATTTTATTCAGGAGCAGTTGCAGGAGTGCGGAGCGCTGCTGGAGCGCGAACATAATGGATACCCACCTTTAAACTCATAAGTGAGAACACTTATTGTGACGGACGGGAAACTACGGAACCCTACACTGAGCGTGGCCCGACACGCTCTTGGCCGATTTTATTTATGTGTGTTACCTCAGAACCTTTTCCTAGGTGTACTGATTTTGATGATTCTTTGTAAATTTATTTGAAAGATGATGCTTCTCATGTGATTTGATAAAAATTTGATCAAGATTAGACCAGTAGTTTTTAGGTCATCCTTAATAATGCGTATTTAATTGACTTCGACTACATTAATGATGTTCTCATTTTATTTATAGAAGTTGGTTGTACTACATTTTTAATTTTACCACTTGTCTTGAATCACTTTTTTTAAAATCCTAATAGCCTTATGAATCATTCTTGATATTGGTACGAATTCTTTGGCGGGAACTTGTAAATTAATTACGGCGCTTGTGCTGCTGTGATATAGGTTAAAACGTACAAAAACCTAGTATAATTAAAGGCCGTAAGGCATTCCAAATTAGT